AGAGTTGCTAAATCATGTGCAGTCTGCCAAAATTTTTACCATACTGGACTTCTGGGGGGCTTACAACCTAGGGCACATCAGGGCAGGAGATGAATGGAAGACCACCTTCCGAATCCACTGTGGACACTATGAATACTTAGTAATGTCATTCAGTCTGACCAAGGCTCCTGTGACCTTTCAACGCTTTGTAAATGACATGTTTATAGACATCCTGAACCAGTACACAATCATCTAACTTAATGACATGCCTGTATTTTCAGAGAACCTCACGCAGCATTGCTACTACATCCTTTTCATCCTGGAAAGACTACGGGAGCACTGCCTGTATGTGAAACTGGTGAAATGTGCCTTCAACCAATCCTCCACCAAATTTTTGGGTTATATCCTTTGCTTGGAGGGCATTAAAATGGACCCCCAAAAGATGGAAACCATTCACAGCTGAGTAGTGCCCAGGTCCCCCTGAGAATTGCAGCACTTCCTGCCCTTTGTGAACTCTTTCCAACAGTTCATTCTGGGCTTCCCAGGGAAAATAGTTCCTATGAAGAACCTAGTCCAGAAGGCCATCCAATTTGTTTGGACACGCGAAGCTCACTGCACCTTTGAACAGCTCAAGGCCACTTTTACCACCATTCCCATTCTAGCAGCCCCAGCCCAGGCATTCATCATGAAAGCTGATGTATACAGTGTAGCTATGGGAATCATACTCTTTCAAGCACAGGCCACAGCAAGCACTGTACCCCTGCTCGCACTATTCCCGCAAACTAACCCCTGCAGAATGGAATTATAACATAATAGATAAGGAGCTGTTCATGATTAAATCAGCCTTCAAAGAGTAACTCCATCACCTCGAGGGAGCCTGACGCTGGTCCAAGGTTTTACTGACCATAAAAACCTCAGATATCTGTGTGAGATTCTAGCCTTCAACCCGAGACTCATGTGGGCATTATTCTTCTCTCAGTTTTACTTCTTCATCACCTATTACCCAAGCACCAGCAGTGGAAAGGCCAATGCCTTATCCCAAAAGGGGGAATACTACTAAGAGGGCAAAGAGCCCAACCAAGAACCACTCCATCTCCTAAAACCCCACAACTTTCTTAGTGCTACAATACACCAAGACCTGATCAACCTAATTCAATCTGCCTCATGGGATGACCCATTAGCCCGGGATGTGACAGAACAGTCTGAACAATCCGGAACCAAAATGCAATGGTCCACACAGGTGGGGTAACATACATTGATGGGCGCATATACATACCCCATTGGAGGTCCTTCAACTCTGCCATAACACTCTGCTGACATGCCATTTTGGCCACCTTAAGACTCTCCGCATGGCTTCCCATTTCTTCTGATGGCTCCATATGTGAGCCAAAGTTCACTCTTGTGACCTTTGTGCATGCACCAAGACACACCATGTTAAGCCCCTCAGCATTCTAGTACCCCTGAAGACCCCACCTAGACCCTGGGCCTTGATCACCCTGGACTTCGTGGTGCAACTCCCTGACTCTGTCAGTCTGATGGTGGACTTCACCATCATAGACCAATTGACCAAAATGGTGCACTTCATCCCCTGTGACTGCCTACCCTCTGTTGAAACAGCAGCTTAACTCCTGGTGGTGCATGTTATCCATCTCCATGGCTTCCAGACCATATCTCCTCAGATCAAGGCATGCAGTTGGTCTCATGCTTTTGGCGCAAAATGTTTCAGTTACTGCACATTCATGCTTTTACCTCCTCCACATACCACCCCCAGACAAACGGGTGGACAGAGAAAGTGAACAAAGTACTAGAGCAATATCTAAGGTGCTATATCAACTATCATCAAGATAGTTTAGCTTAACACAGAGAAGGTTAAGGGGTGACTTGATTACAGTCTATAAGTATCAACATGTGGAACAATTATTTAATAATGGGCTCTTCAATTTAGCAGAGAAAGATATAACGCTATCCAATGGCTGGAAGTTGAAGTTAGACAAATGCAGACTAGTATTAAGGCATACATTTTTAACCATGAGAGTAATTAATCATTGGAATAATGGGAGTTTTGGGGGGTCATGGTCAATTCTCCATCACTGACAATTTTTAAATCAAGATTGGATATCCTTCTAAAGATATGCCCTATGAATTATTTTGGGGAGGTTTTATGGCCTGTGCTACATAGGAGGTCAGACTAGATGATCACAATGGTTCCTTCTGGCCTTAGAATCTGCGACTCTCCTAATAACGGGTCCTCCTTACACTGAGTTCTCATTCAACAGGGCTGACCATGCCTCTGGAGGGTAGAGTCCCTTATTTGCAAATTATGGGTTCCACCATTGCTTCTGGGCCTCCCTGAACCCAGCATCCACTGACTGAATCCAGTGGGATTCATCATATCCAGGAGGAGCTTAAGGACTACCTTGAAAATGCAAAAAAGGACTACTAGCAGTGTGCAGACCATTCATACCAGGAAGGCCTAGCTCTTGCAGGAGGCCGAAGAGTCTGGCTCATGGCAAAATATGTCCATATGAACATGCCAACCCACAAACTAGACCACCAGTTCCTTGAACCATTCCAGATTTGTCAGCAAATCAACCCCATCACCTTTAAATGCAGCTCACCCGGTCTCTCAAGATACACCCTGTTTTCCATGTATCCCTCTTGAAGCCTGACATGAAGGATCCCTTTCCCAACTGGTCCCAACAGCTGCCACCATCCAGGTCCAAGGGCATGAGGAATATATAATCCATGCTGTCTTTGACTCTAGACTACAGAGGGGGAGATTGTACTACCCCTTAGATTGGGAGGGCTATGGTCCTGAAGAGCACACCTGGGAATCTGCTGCCCATGTCCATGCCCATGATTGGTAAAATGGTTTCATCAGGACTTTGCCCCAACCTGAAGAAAGGGCACCCCTGAAAGATGGAGGTAATGTAAAGATCTTTAGGACTAGGACCAGGTCTGCAGAGCCTGGGGTAGCTGATGGTCTCATATCGCCAGCAGGAGGCCAGGTAGAGCCACATCCAAGGAGCACCGTGGAGATTAGGCACCTCAGAAAGTACCACCCAAAGGAGCAAAAGCGACCGCAGCCTCTGGCCCTCTGTTTGGCCCATATTTACTATTTAACCCAGGAGCATGGCCCAGGAAGTTGGCTGGGCAACCATACAGACTTCTGGCTCGCTGTGGCTCCAGACCTGGACTCTCTCAGCACTGCTTTGCTCTCTGACCTTCAGTCTCCGACCCCAGCCTGACTCTAACCCTTATTCTTGCCTGTTGATTTTGGCCCTCACAACTACTCTGATCCCTGCTCACCTACCACCACCTCATTGCCACCTCTGGACTCTGCCACATGAGCCCAGAAGTAACCACTAAGCCAGACTGCTTACGCCCTGGTCTTTTACAGGCTTGCTCTTGTTTGTACAATGTAAAATGACTATTCCAATCTTTTCTACTCCTCTGAACTTCCTTTGCTCGTGACATGTTGTTTTAAAACACCAAAATGGAGTTTATCCCACATCCATTTGTTATTGATTTCAGTGTCAAAACTCCCATTCACTTCAGTCATAAATGAATCAGCCCCTTATGACCAACATTTCTTCATTTCTGAACCAGATTCTAAAAAGTGGTCAAATTAAAGACACCTAGCCTATTATTAGTGGATTAATTTGAGGCTACAAATCACAGCCCACAATAGAGGGTAGTAGTACAGGCATTATTACATGCTTTGTGAGGGGGCATCATATGCTCTTCCTCTGCTGGCCAGTCGGTGATGGCACCATGGCCTGGGCGTACCTCCTTCCATCCCCTCTGGGGACACTGACATTATCCTGGAGCAGTTCTTGTCCTCCCGGAGCCTGATCCTACAAGGTGCTGAACCACCCCTGAAGGTGCTGAGCGCCTTCAGCTCCCATTAACTTCAGGGAGAGTTGAGACTGCTTAGCACCATGAGTAGCTCAGCACCTTGCAGAACTGAGCCCTCTGAACCCAAAGACAGGGATTGTCCCTCACCTCAGCACAGGGGCTTAAGTGAGGTGGGGAAGGGCTCCTTGCAACCATTCCCTCCCACACAAGGCAGGGCACAACCTAGCCCAATATTTGAGAGATTTATTTGTGTCTGCCTAAGTGCTATCTAAACTTAATATTTTTATAACCACTTGTATAGGTGCAAATATTTACTGTTGGAAATTATTGCACATGGAAGGAGAGCAGAAGGGGGGTTGCCTTGGTTTGTGGCTGATTAGACTTGCACGGTGAGCCTTGGATAAAATCCAGATTGTATATGAGTATTAATTTAAGCTGTAGTAAATTAATGCAGAACACATATTGACTGGCAGCTAGCTTGGCAGTCTGAGTAAGTTTCACACTTTGGACAGAAGATTCTTTGTTAGAATATACCTCATAAACACCCCACCAAGACTTCACACACACGTAGCTCAGAAAGGGATTAAAAAAAATTCTCAGGGAATAAGGCCATCCCAAAATAACCATTATTCTGTAATATTTTAAGGGATATACAAAGATAACTGCAGAGCAACAATTGTTCGGAAGCATGCATTTTACAATAGATCTAACTACAATCTTAACTTTTTTATGAATTTTTCATTTGCCTTTTTGGCTAAGATCCATCGTACATGGTATTTAATATCTCATATGACAGTGGACAGCAGAGATCCTACCATCGCAAGGGGATCAGTGGGATGATTTAACAGGTCTTTTGCATATCTGACTACTAGATTCTTATCTGAAGTTAGCATATGTACCTAGCAGGTCAGTGTTTTTTTACTGTAACTATATATGGCATAAATACCTATATAAATTTTACTCACATTAATTTTTATGAAAGCAGAGAGATTCATACTCTATACCCCATTTATCACACTCCATATTTGCTGTGAATATACCAAGGCAATATTATGATAGAGTCACAGGCAATGAAGATGTTGCGTACTAAGCTAACAGGTGTTCCCACTCCCTGTGTCCTTTGTATACACATATTCAAATCACACAAGGCAGTAGACAGGATAGGGTCTGTTAACTCATTGCTGATTTCCCTGGCAAATAAACCAGCAGCTGCTGGACCAAGCACTGACTTAGCACTGAGAAGAAGGTGATATTTGCATGGGACAGGATGCTTTCATGGAGCCCTTTAGCAACACATTTTGTGACTTACAGTGCAATATATATTTTCTGCTTTTAGGTAAGATACAGTATGTATTATTATGGTTGTTGATTTTTCACTCTGGATATATGGTTCATTTTTATACTTAAAAAAATTAATGGATTTTCTATGTTAAATTGTCAGATTTTTTTAAAATCATCCTAGAAGTTTGTAACCTAATAGTAGATCTGGTTTTAGTAAGAAAAGCAGAAAGTCTGTAAACTATCATACACTAATATTGTACATAATTTGTAAGTAAAACATGGACATTGACTGTGTGAGACATTTTCTAATATTTACTAAGTACTGTACAGTACATTATACTTTCTTTTTAATGTCTGTACCACAAAGATGAAAATAATTAGCTCTCACCAGGACCAATCTTGCAAACCTTTACTAATTTGAGTAAGGACTTACCATGAGTAAAGGTTAGCAGGGTGAGGTCAAGGTTTAGCATGGAAGTTGTTGCTATTATCTGTTCAAAAATATGTTTGGAAAGTGGCTTTATTTTGCTTGACAGTGAAGGTATTATTTTTTTAATCCCTCCATGTAATACTTGATTGTAAATATTTAAAATTGAGACTGCATGATTTAAACATATTTTGGCATGATATTTTGATATGGGAAGTTCCTGACCCTCCCCCCCCCCAAAAAAAAAATTCCTCCCCTAGTTTGACTTTTTTTTGCACCCTCAGGTTTTACACCCTAAAAAATAGGATTCTTTTTTTTTCTAATATTCACCATTAGATTTTAGTTTTGGCATAAAAGGAAAATAAAATATTTTTGCTATTAAAGCTGAAGAGGTTTGTAACAACCACTACCAAAAGCTCTAACTTTATCGCTTGGTGAACTGGAGAATGTATTACCATTAATAATACCTTCCGTTCAGTATCTTGGGTGTTACTTTTATAAGCAGATATTTGTCAACTATGCATTTTGGATAAAATTGGATGTCCAATGTACTTCCATAAGAGTCTGTTGTGATTAGATATTAGATAAAATTCTACTTTAATCTCTCCAACAATTCTTCTACAGCTTTTTAGAATTAACTTCTGCTTTATTTAGATGTTTATGTAATTCCAACAGAACGAATATGTAACATTACAAGAGTATTGTGTCTTCATGTTATCTAAATGTAAAGGGTATTTGCTTTACATTGCTTTCCTATATCTTTGTGAACTCAATATATTGTAGACTTTTTTGCTAGATTTCAGTCAGTCAGCATTTGGAGTGAAGGAGAGTTTGTGTCAGGTCTGCAGATTTGTACCCACAAAGTTCTGCTCTCCCAGTACCATGGTGCCACTAAAATTAAGATTATTGGTTTGAGTTTTTTTAAATAACACCCATATTTTAAGTGAATACAAAAAACTGATATTTCTTATTTGCTGTTCTATCTGTATTAATCTTTGTTAGACCACTTGACTAAAACCCTACAGAAGATCAAACTTTACTTTTATATTAGCATTTAAATATAATGCTTTGCAGCAGACACATACATTAAGAAGCATACCATACATTCTCAGATACAGATCTTTATAAGCTTCCTCATATGTTAATTGCCTTTTTTATCAGTACAAGGGTCAAATTTTCCTGTCCTGGAGGCCATGATCTGAAGCCCACTGAATAACATATCAGCCTTTCCAATTACTTTAGTGGGCTTTGGCTCGAATACTAGTCAAGCCAAACTCCCATGGAAGTCAATAGACATCTTGCTCAGATAAGGACTGAAGAATTTGGCCCTATAAACAGAATGTGTAAACAATGTGCTCTCGCTCTCTCTGACCCAAATTACCAAGCATTTGGATGTTTTTCTAAAATATATGTGCTCAGAATTATTTTGGGGGAAGTTCTATGGCTTGTGCTGTACACAAGGTCATAGTAGATTAGGGATCGGCAACATTTGGCACGCGACCCATCAGGGAAATCCGCTGGCTGGCCGGGACAGTTTGTTTACCTGAAGCGTCTGCAGGTTCAGTGAACTGCGGCCAGTGGGAGCTACAATCGGTTGAACCTGCGGATGCTGCAAGTAAACAAACTGTCCCGGCCCGCCAGCGGATTTACCTGATAAACCATGCGCCAAAGGTTGCCAATCCCTGTACTAGATCATAATGGTCTCTTCTGGTCTCAGAATCTATGGATTTATGAAAGTATGTGAACTCCTGGCACCATAAATACTAGGGGTCTGACACTCCACTGCTTTGCACCATGTAAATGCATTTACATCTTTGCAGAATGGGTGTAAAAATGATCAATTGAGAATTGGTAGCCTTTTACTCACACTTTGCACAGGGATAGATGACTACACAGAATGCAAAGCCGTAGAGAAACAGACCTAGCTTTTTTTATGATGATAAAGTGATGAGTGCTTTAGAATCCAGAGAACAATGAAACCTCACTAGGTAGGTTTCAGTTTTTGCAGTCAACTCAGAATATGTAGTCATGGTTTTTATTTAAACTAAAGCTGCATACTTTGTTTTCTGTCAACAATGATTCTGTTGTGCTTGCTAATACTTTGAAGAGTGATATGGAAGCAAAACATAGATTGCTTTGCGCTCCAGCTGGAGGTCACTTTGGTAAAACTGAACGTGTTTATAGTCAATACAGAAAAACTGGTTTTAAGAGGTCTGTGTTGCTGGAAAAATGCATGCATTATTTAGCAAGCTATACATAGCAACATGTTTAAGTTTGGAATATTCTTGATTACTGCATAAGATAAAATTTCGTGGCTCTGTAGAACAAGGACATTTTTAAAATATTGCCTTTTATGCCTAAATTTTATGATGCATTCAAGGATTTTCATAAAAATATCTTCCATATCATGGGCAGGAGCAAAATTAAAACTTGTGCATGCTAGTGACTGATTAAACAGACAACCAAGATTTTCAAAAATGATTACTTAAAGTCAGGCGTTAAGTCAGTTTTAGGTGTCTATGGGTATATCTACGCAGTAACTGGGACATGTAATTCCCAGCTCAGGTAGACATACATGGGCTAGCTCTGCTCAAGCTAGCACCTAAAAGTAGCAGTATTGCCATGGCAGCACAAGTGGTGATTTGGGCTAGCCACCTGAATACAATCCTGTCTGAGCCCCTCAAGGTACGTACATGGGTGGTTAGCCTGAGCCATCATCTGTGCTGCCATGGTCATACTGTTGTTTATAAGTGCTCACTCAAGCAAAGATAGCATGTGTGTGTCTACCCACGCTGGGAATTACACCACCCAGCTGCCATATAGATGTACCCTATAAAATAAGTTGCCTGATTTTTAAAAATGCCAAGTATCCAGCAATCCAATTGACTTTAATAGGAGCTATTCAGAGCTTCAAAACTTTTGAAACTCAGGCCATCTATTTAAGCACCACTTAACAACTTCAGGGATTTAGACACCTGAACTTAAGCAATTTTTTTTAATTTTGGCCAACTTCCATAATTAGTACTGCACCCCAAGCTCCTGGAGAACCATTTTTCCACACTGGAGGTATTTCACTGATCAAACATACCATCATTATTGTGAACAATAGTATATTACTCCTGGGATTCACCTAATATAAGTGATGAGTAAGCATCAAAGTGACTTAAGAACTGAATTCCCCTTGGCTTTTAATGGAATTTAGGTTCCTACACCAACAACACCATCACAGGACCTAACCAGATCAACTACAACATCACCGGCTCATTCACCTGCACGTCCACCAATGTTATATATGCCATCATATGCCAGCAATGCCCCTCTGCTATGTACATTGGCCAAACTGGACAGTCACGACGTAAAAGGATAAATGGACACAAGTCAGATATCAGGAATGGCAATATACGAAAACCTGTAGGAGAACACTTCAACCTCCCTGGCCACACAATAGCAGATGTAAAGGTAGCCATCTTACAGCAAGAAAACTTCAGGACCAGACTCCAAAGAGAAACTGCTGAGCTTCAGTTCATTTGCAAATTTGACACCATCAGATCAGGATTAAACGAAGACTGTGAATGGCTAGCCAACTACAGAAGCAGTTTCTCCTCCCTTGGTGTTCACACTTCAACTGCTAGCAGAGGACCTCACCCTCCTTGATTGAGCTAACCTCATTATCTCCAGACTGTTTCTTGCCAGCATATTTATACCTGCCCCTGGAAATTTCCATTACATGCATCCGACGAAGTGGGCATTCACCCATGAAAGCTTATGCTCCAATACATCTGTTAGTCTTAAAGGTGCCACAGGACTCTCTGTTGCTAAATTACTTAGGCATTTTTGGAAGTTTTGCCTATCTTCAACAAAAGGTCAAACAAAATGTCACTTGAACCCTTGGGAACATGTTAACTGCAGACTTAATGGGACTTTTGCCTGATGGGAACATCAATAAGAAATGAATAAAGATTTGGTCCGTTGACTTCAATTCAACATAATATTGAGTAGCTCTTTGAATATGACAGGGTAACATCAATGTAAAGTTAGACCATAATAAGATTCTGTTGCTTTAATTTAATTAGAAGTATAAATGTTTGAAATGGCTCTAATATTTCAGACTGTACTCTGATGAAGTGTTGATCTCTATTTTTCCAGAGCCAAGAATCACCCAGCATTGCTCCCATAAAACATTAATCTTTGGCAAAAATACTTGCCTGATAACTTCTTCAATCTTCACTTCCCTATGATCATACACAAGTTCCCACACACTGATAACACCTGATCAAATCATCAGAGCATACCTTCAGAGAACAGTAAAGTTTGCAGTTAGCCTGTGAGAGCCCCACCCAAGCAGACTATCTCCCTGCAGCCATTGTCTTAAAAGTGAAAACAAATGTTATTTCCTTAATCTCCTCTCTGCTTTGCTAACTGGTATTCCTCAACTGTGGCTCAGTGTTCTGACAAGCTGATGTAAGGAACCACTTTTCTCCATGAATTAACTGTGGACAAGTTAAAGATCATGTGTTATCTCTGTTCCTACCTCTCTTTGTACTCCACTATACTAATAGGATTTTTCACCCAGAAGTCTCTTATTTTCCTTTGTTCTACATAAAAAGTCTTTGTAACCCAGTTGTGGGGATGGCCTTTGGAGTGATCTTCCACTTCTCAGGGTAAACACACACCTCCCACACAGTTGTGGGGATGAATAGTCTGAGGAGTGGAGACGGGGATTGGCTAGGTGAGGGGAATGGAATGGGGACAAGGAGCCAGGGTGAGAAACAAACAGGACTGGGGCAGCAACCGGTTGGAAGGAAAGGGGCAGAAGGGATCACACTTGAGGGAAATGGGCAGTAGAGTCTGTTTCCCCTAGAGCACATTCCCCTCCAGAGCCAGGAATGGAAGCCAAGATTCCTGAGTTCCACCATTCCTCTGCAGTTAGCCAATTTCTGTGAAACCCACTGGCAAAGCATCTCATCACCTCTAGTGCTGATCCACAGAGAGGATAACAACCTACTACTGCTATCAGTTACTCCTTTAGTTCAAGTGGCAGAGGTGGATGCATAGCTCTATGGTGGATCTAAACATTTCAACCCTGCTGATTACTACATGAGTGTCCCATGGGGTGTCCTTGTTTGATGAAGGCCACCCAAATACCCTGAGAGAACCTGCTTCAATACAGATATAAAATCCCCTCTGACCACATACCCCTAGTTGTCACCTAGCACCCCACCATGGAACCCATATGGGTTATCACCAAACAACTACAACCCATACTTGATGGGGATCTCATCCTGAACAAAATCTTTCCTGAACCCCTGCTTCTGGCCTTCAACCAACCTCTCCAAGCCCATCATCAGAGGCACGCTCCCTATAGATCAGGGCACACCAACTCAAAGTGGCACCAGATGCTGTCAGAACAACAGATGCAAAACCTGCAGACATATCTTCACTGCTACAATGATCAACACCCCCTCCCAACACATCTTTCAAGATCCATGGGTCCTACACATACCTATCACAACATGTGATGTACCTCATCCAGTGCACTAAATGCCCCAATAGCAACTATCTGGGTGAAGCCAGACAATCACTAGACTCTCAAATGAACTCAAACAGGAAAATTATAAAAGACAAAAATACCACATCATTGTTCAAAAAACAATCACTCTCTATCTGACTTATCATCCTCATCATCAAAGGAAACCTGCACAACACCTTGAAAAGACAAGTTTGGGAACTTATATCCATAACTTTGCTAGAGACTAAAAGTCATGGACTAAATCGAGACACTGGATTTATGGTTTATTACAACAATCTATAACCTGCTAACAGCCCCTCCCAGCTGCTCCCTCCCCACCCCACTTCCTTTCCTCCCTATGACCGGAGGAAACCACTTGACCTTGAATCATCACTTGAAATATATGTTAACTACTCATACGAAACAATCTGTTCAAATCTTGTATTTAGCAGTGACACTTTGAGTTAGGCCAGGTCTACACTACAGACCTATATCAGTATAACTATGTCACTCAGGGATGTGAAAAATCCACACCCCTGAACGATATAGTTATACCAACCCTAAGCCCCCCATGTAGACAATGCTACGTCAACAGCAGAGCTTCTCCCGTCAACATAGCTACCACCTCTCACAGAGGTGAATTAATTACACCCACGGGAGAGTCTCTCCCGTCGGCATAAGAGCATCTTCACTTAAGCACCGATGCAGCTTTTTAAGTGTAGACCTGCCCTTAGTTTCCCAGACTTGAAGAAGAGCACTGCGTAAGCTCAAAAGCTTGTCTCTCACACCAAAAGAACTTGGTCCAATAAAAGATATTGTCTCACCAACTTTGTCTCACAAATATTTGGAACATTTTCAACAAAGGAAATTATTACAAACACAACAACCTTAGAACTCCATTTCTAAGTTTTGTCAAACTTTTAAAAAATATCCTAGCCTATTAGACGAGAAGTGACATCTAACTTAAAACAAATCAGTTTTATTTTGTGTAAGATAGGAGAAATGGTTTGAAAAATCAAGCTATAAAATCTGATCCGACTCCAGCTGAAGTCAATACCAATCTTTCTATTTGCATCAGTGGGAGTTGGATCAGGACCATTTTGAGAACACGACGACCACAGCTCCATAAGAGTTTCCATTTAGAATTTCCAGTGTTCCTAGTTTTGTTTTCTTTCCATTTTTATGCAGGTATTTGTTCTGCACTAAGGCTGACGGTACCATCACATACTATACATGGCATTGAAGGACAACCACTCCATCTTACAGTTGACTACAATTTCAACACTACAGCTTCTGAAATCCAGATAATATGGCTATTTGAGAAACCTCAGAGTATCCCCAAATATTTACTCGGCTCTGTGAATCAGTCGGTAGTACCTGACCTGGAATATAAACACAAGTTTACCCTCATACCACCTAATGCATCTTTGATGATCAATCCATTACATGTTACTGATGAAGGCAATTATATTGTAAAAGTCAATGTCCATGGAAATGGGACAATATCAGCCAATCAAAAGATTCAAGTCACTGTTGATGGTAAGTCAATAAAATACTGTATTTTAGTGCTGCAAATAAAATTACAACTTTTGTGAAGTTTCTAATCACCTGGAATCCAGCTATAGTTCTGTGTGATTCAGTCTGGCTGTGCATGAATAAATCAACTCACTGAAGTAATTTTATGCTTATTTTCAAAACCGCAATGATTAATTATTCAACAAAATGTGTTTATTATTGATTGGTGCCTTATTAATCCTGGGAGTATATTAAACTGGGTTTGTAGGCATCTTATAACGACTATGAAATTAAATGGACTATAGTGATCTCAGGAAATAATCTGTTTTCATAACGCCCAGTTCTGTCGCCCTTACTCACCTTGAGGCTGCATTCACTTTTGCATGAGCTTTTTTCTGTACCTGGAAACCTGACTTAGAGGAAATTCTGGAGGCAGCTGCCTGCTCAGGATTTCATGCTGTCTAGAGGCTGGTAGGCAGGTGGCCCCAAACCCAACAGAGAAGATAATAAGGTTTGGGGGGGGAAAGTTTGGCCCTAAAAAGAGGCTCATGTGGTTCACTTTCATCAAATGGTTCATTTTCTCTAGATCAATAGGTAGATGTGAATATGGATCTGTTATTCTCCTACATATGTATCTTCCATTCATGTGAGTGGGAGTTGTACATGCACAGAGAAAGAAGAGCAGGGAATGGAAAAATGCATGCAGCATGAACTTGATTAATTCGTCTATCTAATTAAAATGGAATATTTGTTTCCAGCCATTGTGTCATAACCTCAGCTAGTGTAAGTCATCCTAGCTCTAGTGAAGTTACTTGAAGTAGGCCCGTTTGGACCAGCTAAAGATATGACCCTTTGTTTTTCATTTTTAGCAGCATAACATTTGAAATCTAAGTACTTTCTTAAAAGGGTGATGAATGCCATTTATATCACCTGAGCAGTAAATGGCATATTCTCCTAATATAAATGGCAAATCTTGTTTATAACTGTTCATATCCATTTAACTTACAGTTCCTGTCGCAAAGCCAGTTGTACAAATTGAACCTTCTTCGGGAGTAGTGGAGTATGTGGGGAACATGACATTAACCTGTACTGTTGGAAAAGGTACAAGGATAGGTTACCAGTGGATGAAAAATGGGAAACCTATGCACGCCAGTTCTAGTTACACCTTTTCCCCAAACAATGACACACTTTTAATTGTCCCTGTCATGAAAGAAGACATTGGGAATTACAGCTGTTTTGCAACCAATCCTGTGAGTGCGATGGAAAGTGAGATAATTGCACCAACTATATTTTGTGAGTATATAAAATATTCATGCATACTTTTGTCTAAATGAGCTTCCCAGAGAGAGAATCTCTGACAATGGAATGGGCACAAAACAGTTGATTCAAGTTTATATTTTGGCTTTCACTCACAGTAGATTGGTCTTTAACAGTCCATCTATACCCTCTCCATGATAATATAATGTAGAACTTGTTAATCTTTATGTAGTTGTTAAAGATCAGCTTGAGCTGCAGAATTTAGGTTGGGATTTCAAAGTGTAGAGTTCTTCAAAATTTATGGTTTTTGTTCAGCCCATTATAACCAGAGGGACTGGCCACAACATTTAAACATAGATCCAAGTTCAGTTTTCTAGCTCCCACAAAGTTCATGGGTGTTTGGATCTCAGGTTCTGGTTCAAGACTATGTCTAATAGTTATCATTACCTTTTACTATGTCTATGGCATTATTGGTGTGCATGGTGCTTCACAAGCATACGTAAAAAAAAATCAAGAGACTTGATTCTGATTTAACTTACATTACTTACACACTGATGTAACTCCACTGACTTTAAAGGCATAACTCCTGATTTACACTGGCAACCTTTGCCACACTGCCCATCTGGGAAATCTGCTGACGGGCTGGGATGGTTTGTTTACCTGCAGCATCCACAGGTTTGGCCAATCGCAGCTTCCACTGGCCGCGGTTCGCCGTTCCAGGTCATGGGGGGCTGCGGGAAGCGGCATGGGCCAAGGGATGTGCTGGCCGCCACTTCCCGCAGCCCCCATTGGCCTGGAACGGCGAACTGTAGCCAGTGGGAGCTGCGATCGGCTGAACCTGTAGACGCTGCAGGTAAACAAACCATCCCGGCCCGCCAACACATTTCCCTGACAGGCTGTGTGCCAAAGGTTGCCGATCTCTGGTCTATATGCACCATATGCCATTGCTGCGGGGGAGTTACTGTGTGATAAAAAAGGTCACTCACAGTAAATACCTGCCATCTGCTCAGAAACTAGATGGATAACAGTCTCGTGGTGATATGAGCAATTGGAAGTGTTCCCACAGAGTAGTAAATTGTTACTAAGAACAGGTGATTTATTATTTTACAAGTCATTTAGTAAACAGGCTTCACTGAAACATGAGACTCAGTTCTGCTGAGAACGATACTGGAAAAGAGAAGTGGAGAATGTAGGATCCCAGGAAGGAGTTATTTTACTGTTTCACTCAGTATCAAAAAGGTTCTTTATTTTGTTCATCCCTATTCATTAGCATTATTTGATTTGTCTATTAATTGTAATAATAATACATCACAAAGCACTTAGCAGTTAAATTGCTTCATTCAGAAATAAATCAATACAAGACTGGGAGAGAATTTATTAGTCTGGTGGTGTGGCTGCTGCAGCAGAAACTGCTGTACTATGTGGGAGTTCTGAGTTCAGGAGATAAATTGGTAGAGCCCTGCAAATTTGCAGATATCCGCTTTATATCCAAAGATCTCCGCAGACCATGTCTGCGGATCGGATGTGAATACCAATTTTGTATCTGCGCAGGGCTCTATAAATTGAGATTTCCTTCTTCTGGGCTTGTGAGAAACTAATAGAACACATTTAGACCTAGACAGAAGTTTCTGATTCCTCTGCTTCTGACAATCTCGAAATGGAGCAAGGGGGACAAGGGCCTTTAAATGGAAACTACGTTTGGGAGAATTTAAAGCCCAAGACAGTGAAAGTAATGGGTTGGGTGAGAACTACTGAATGGTTTCAAAAAGCAAAAAAGCAAGTTAATTCGTAAAATTAGTAGATTTTGAATGTTTTGCTTTGCATTTAAAAAAGAAGTTGTCTTTGAGCCTGACCCAATAACAAAAAAAACCTCCATGGTCTTCTGATCCCAGAAAAGGTGCCTATGCTGGTTTCCTGGGAAACTCCCCTTGCCCAGGGGAAAGCTCACTAAGAATGGAAACCCAAGAACTAAAAGGTGAACACAGCAAAAGTCAGGGGGATGAGAGGAAGGTTAACATGTGCTTTAAGGATCATTTATGAAAAACAATTGTCTGAAGTTATATAAGACACACCATGCTATGTCTTACTAAGGAGAGGATAGTTCCGTAAGCAAGTATTGTGTGGTAAGTACCAATATACATGTTTACATAGGTATATTTCAGTGCAATTTTACTGATCTTTATGTGTAAACAGAGATAAGTTATGCCAGTAACCTTGGCATTTAAGTATAAAGGGTCCAATTCACCCTTGTACAGACAGCCAGAAGAAGGCCTACTGCTTCATTACACTACATTACCTATGCTGCTTCAGTCCCACTACAGTTTTTTTGAGGGCTTTAAACATTGCATAGGCCTTGTGCTGAGTATCTGGGTGAATTTCATCCAAATAGATCAATATTACGTGGGTGTTTCCTGTGATAAGACTGTTACAAATCTATCTACATAAGGACAGATTAAATTAATTGGAAGCCTTTTAATCAGAATAATTGAACGTAATGGCAGCCATTTGAAAGGTTAAGTCTATACTTATCCTTGGAATTTTTAAGAGTTATTCTTTGATTTTAATTTTCTCCATTATGATAATTTTTGTTGTTCATATTAATGCAGATGGACCTTATGGACTTACAGTTAATTCAGATAAAGGGCTGAAAGTAGGGGAGGTGTTTACGGTTGACATAGGAGAAGCTATCCTATTCGATTGCTCAGCAGACTCAAATCCACCAAATACTTATTCCTGGATCCGAAGGGCTGACAATACTACACATGTTATCAAATATGGACCCCATCTGGAAGTTCTATCTGAAAAAGTGGCCCAGACAACAGTAGATTATATGTGCTGTGCTTACAACAATGTGACTGGAAAACGGGACGAAACTCATTTCACAGTGATCATTACTTCTGTAGGTAAGAACATAAAATGTATAACATAACAACATGCTGATCTAGTATAACGTATAAACACAGTACCAACCTAAGGGGAACTAAGCAACTGGAGTGCAAGCCAGGTGACGAACCAGTACACTGTCTTGATATTTTGAACTTCCCTGTCCTCAGCAAGAGGGTAGAGAGCAGGGGTGAAATCTTGGCAATAGTAATAGAATAGTAAAGTTATAGCAATAGCAATAGTAAAGTCAAAGGGAGTTTTGCCACTCACTTCAATAAGGCCAGGATTTCACCACAGTTGCGTCTTGTAATGGACTTGGTCCTTTGAGTAGAAATGCCACTGCTCTCTACCATAATAACCAATTCATGAAGCAGAAAAAAATACACATTTTTTTTTACCATCTCTGCTTGAGTGTGTTCAATATAAGAAAGGAAGCTATATTGGGAGAAAGTGGCACAAAAATACAGTGAACTCTAAGGCTGGACTGCTAGCTTTGCACTGCCACGTGGATTCTATTCCAAAGCCCACTTTCCCACTCCCTCTCTTAGCAGGGGCTGTGAGTGCTCTGCAGGCAGTATGACCAGCACATGGTATGGAGAAGGTGATGCCTCTAGTCATTCAACAATGGCTGGAATGGCCAATTAGGGACCAACAAACATGGGCATCAAAAGGGCCTCTGGGACTTGGTAGAACAGACGTCTTAGTCTAGTGTGTGATGGTAATACAAGCTATCTTTGCAGAAACACAAAGGTGTTGGTGAATCAATGGTTTCATTACAAGATACATATGGAAGTTTTTTTCCCCCATGTGTTCTTATGTAGATTTATTGCTAAGTACTGATGCATGGAGTTTCTCCTTTACTTTCAATACATGATAGATTTAGGTCTTATATAATACTATGCCAAAATTAAATGACTGCAAAGCAATTTTTTGTCAGAGAATCCCAATGAAAAGCAACTGTAAATGGTACGATGCTGCTGAAGTCTGAAATCTCCTTATCTACTGCCTTTCATTACTAATTAGAAAACATTTTCTGGGTGGTTAATAATTTAATTACTAAGGAACAATAGTTTTTTTTCCAGATAATGTGGCCATATTACTAATGTACAGCAAGATGTCAGACTGTTGCCTTTTAGAAAGTTTCACAAACCTGTTTTGCTGGTACCAGACAAGAGCTCATACATTTATTATTAAGATAAACAAGGACAGCAGGTGTCTATTGTTCAGATGGATTTAATGTAATCTTCATAAATGAAAGCTCCATGCTTTCAAACACCCTGGCAGAAAACAGTTTACAATTTTTCAGTGGAAATAATACAGTTTAAAATAAAACAATGACTAGAAGGGGGGAAATGCAAACAGAGCAGTGGTGTTTCCTTAGGAATACAAATGGCATTTTTCCTGAAAGTGAAAGTAACCAGGACTTCTGCAGTATCTGTGTGTATAAATAAACATACTCACAATCATGAGCAACAATTTTGAGATTTGTTTTTGACGCCTGATAAAAAGCAAAGTCCACATGGTGCATATTCTTTGTTTAGTTGTACTTTAAAAAATGCAGATCTCCTTTGTTAAATTATCTCATGGGATTTAAAACCAGTTTGGAGATAATCAGCTTTTTCCATTTTATACCATTCTTCCTGTTTCTGAAGATTTATTCCAGTAATACTAAACCCTGGATCCCAGACTGCACTCCTTAATTCAGGTAAAATTATCTTTAACTTCAGTGGGAATTCTGCCTGAGTGTGGCCTCAAAGATATGCACACCCAGTGAATTTCTCCCTGCGGACCAAACTCTGAAGTCTTACTGGTAATTTTACCTGATTAATGATTACTCTGCAAGGAAGATATTCTGTGTCTCCACTCCCCCACTACCCAAAATAGAGAGCCTGTGCAAATGTAACCCATACACCTTCTAGGTGTGGTGTTCTGTCACATCTAGTGGCACTGAGACCACTTAAAGAGAGAGAAAATGAATCTGCTCTATTCTTAGCTAACAGTCAGTTGGCTTTTAACTAATGTGGTAGAGTCTCATGCACTAAGCTCCAGAAGTCCCTGGTTTGATCCTGCCCGCCAACAGACCACAAAGCCTTACACAACACTTAAACCTCAGTAGTTAAGGCATTTATACAGAATTTAGATGTTTCAGAAGATCTTCAGCAGCTTCTCTGCACCTAGGGCTGAAATTCACCTATAGAGTTTTGTACACATATGGCCAACTAAAACTAAAAAGAGAACAGTTATAAACAGTTCATCCAATCAACTAAAGTTTTCTACTTTAGCCAAGTGTTAGAGAGTTGGATTTTAAAATAAAGGTATCTATCTAATTATGGACATGATTCTGCAAGGTGCTGAGCACTAATTGCAAGACTACTTTGTAGGACTGAAACAAGATGGAATAATGTTAAATTTATGTTAACCACACAGTTGTTTTCTATACAGATTTTAGTGATGCCTTGTAGAAATGAATTTTATTTGGCTATAAAAATGAAGTTACTCTTTTAAAGGATCCTTTAAAGATTCATCTGTTTCCCCAGACTTCTGGGCAAGGGAGAGCTTTGATTGGGAAAGAGGGGATTGATAGGGTGGAACTTTTTCTGGCTGGAATTGTGAAGGTTTGTTGCACGTTTGGATTAATGCTCATATATTTAACCTTGTAACTGACCAAGGGTGAAATGCGGTCCTGTACAGAAGACCAGTCCCAGGCCAATGTAATACTTGAAGTGGATTTACATGGTGCATAGATCTTGTGTTGCCCATCTACATGGGAATGGATGAATTTCACCCCTAAGCAGTATGAAAAGTTCAGGTAGAAACACATGTAAATAAATATTACAAATGTAAAGTTTCCATTATAGGGAAAACTGTTAGTGACCAGCTTGTAGTGCCACTTTGTGTTTATGGATTATGGTATTGTCTTTAATTACATGAGCACATGCTACTTTTTCCACATGATCCCTGCCACACGTAGGGCACAAGGGGAAAGAAACAAGGTGGTATGCACAACCATAAATCTGGCAGTTCTCAACTTTCAAGTGCTTAACTTTGAAACCTAAATTTGGTTCTTTTAACATAATTTTTGTTTGACATATACACATACACACACACTCACACATATACAGTATCTGTGTGCAGATAAGTCTCATTGGAAAAAGTTTACTTTACTGTGACTCAGCAACAGATATGAGCAAAGGAAGCAAAGATCAGCAGTCTAATGTTAGGGAACTGTATAATTTAGCAGTTTGTGTGAGAATCTGATCAACAAACCTATCAATGATCTATAAATCCCAAAAATGAAGCACAGAGAGATAAAGTGACATACCTATGGCTACATAGTGGTAGAGTTGGGAATTAAACATCTCTCTCTTCACTTCCAGCCCAAGGACCAATCTGCTGTACCTTCAGCATGTAATAAGCTAAAGAATTCCCACATCTGTACTAGCAGAAAGGAGACTGCAGCCCTGATACATGTACAAGGCCCTGAAAGCTAGAATTGATCAAATTATGAATTGTGACTACATTATTCAACAAATTTAGCCTATATTTCTGTTCCTGAATAGTTTGCAGACCCATCCTAAAATTACACATATATTCATGATTAACGTGGACTCAGAATAGTTCATGCTAACAATTTTTTCCATGTCTCATTTGCAAACTATTGACTTCAACTGTTTGATATTTATTTGTGATCTGTGATTAGTCACTTAAATCACATGATGCTGTTTCAAATTCCTGACTGCAAGCTTGGAACTTTTTTAACACTGAAGAATAGCAAATATCACATCTGATAGTGCTACAGTTTATAAAACTGGAGTTTTGTGAACATTTCCACTAATAAACCATCAGTCAACAGAATACTTTTGGATACATAACCCATTGTTCAGTGTTGAGTGTGTCATGGTGGCCAGCTAGGAAACTTAGTACTTTATCTCAAGCTGTAGCAACATATACCCTCAGCTCTGGAGATCTTGGTTCAGTCCCTAATGATGACTGATATGCTGCATTATTACAATCATATGTAATATGACCCAAAAAATATATCTATTAATCATTTTTTCTAATATTTGGCATGACTACTGGGAGCAATGCTGCATCTGTTCCTAATCCACATTGGTTTCACTTCTCCCACAGTCATTCTTTATTTCTGACTGGCACCCTTCAGTCTGGAAACAGTCTGCTAATTACTGTCATTATAATTCTTGACCCTATTAGCAATGCCAAAATGGAAACACTGCACTTTACAAGCTATGGCATATGGTTATAATGTTACTGCATGTAATCAAACACATTTGCCGCTGTGTGATGCCATGGATACCCCATATCTCTTTTATATTTGCACTTGGTGAGATATTTCATTTTATTTATTTAACTAAGAACAGACTTTGAGAGACAAATAACATTTGCACTGGTACCTGGCAAGTTAGCCTTTCAAGCGTGAACTGGAAAATATACCCAGCACAAGTAGTGCCAGTGAGTTGCAGTTCTTTTCAGGTATCAGGGGGTAGCCGTGTTAGTCTGTATCTACAAAAACAACAAGGAGTCTGGTGGCACCTTAAAGACTAACTGATTTATTTGGGCATAAGCTTTCGTGAGTAAAAACCTCACTTCTTCGGATGCATAGAGTGAAAGTTACAGATGCAGGCATTATATACTGACACATGGAGAGTTCTTTTCAGAGGTCTGCTCCAAAAAGGAGACCTAATGAGCTACAGGGAGGGGAAGAACAAGGATTATCTAAAAACTGGATACAAATCTTTTGTATTTAAATATAATGGGAGTGGAATACTCCATCTCTGAGAACACAACAGATTTTATTTACATGTGGTTTGCTGCAAACAGAAGCATGTGTTGGCTTCCTCAAAGTTAAATCCAAGATGAAGAGTCTTTGGGTACATCTAACCTGTAATTAAACACCTGTGCCTGGCCTATGTCAGCTGACTGGGGTTTGCAGGGCTCAGGCTACAGGGCTGTTTAATTCCAGTGTAGACATTTGGGCTTGGGCTGGAGCCTCAGCTCTGGAACCCTCCCCTGAACCCGAACATCTACACCTCAATTAAACAACCTCATACCCCAAGTCCCACAAGCTCAAGTCAGCTGCCACAGGCCAGTCGTGGGTGTTTAATTGCTGTGTAAACATATCCTTAACACGCAAACCTATTGAAGCACAGTCTTGGAAACCAAGGCAAGGAAATTAAGTTATGACTCCCACTATATCTAGGCACTGCAGTATTTGTGCCATTCTGTATACGCAGTATGCGGCTCCAGCACATAGGTCCAACATGGTGCTGAGATGGCTTTAACACAGCACTTACTGACAGTCAGAGTGTTCTGTTAATATAGTATTGTTGATTCTTTAACTGGAGTACAAAATGAAATGTTTCCATTGTAAAAACAATCATATCACACGTCCAGTAAGAACATTGTTACATGAGAAAGTATCCTATGAGTCATGACCAGGCAGAATTGCAGCCCTGGAGCTCCAGGGAGCAAAGAGACTGCTCCCTTTTTTTTCCCATGGGGGAAATCAGTGCCCCAAAGTGGGTGAGGAAGAGGCAGGGCCTGTGCACTGCACACACAAGGCCAAAAAACTAAATTACCAACAAAAATTCCCCTGATGGTTTTGATTTCAGTGCCGTGACTGAAATGAGGAAGTCCATAGTTCTCTGGTTTGGAGACTGAATGGCAAAGTTCAACTCCAGGTCTTTCCGAGCAACATTTCATGCTATACATAAACATAAAATAGCTACAAAACAAAACGGAAGACATAGTCTATAACAAGAGCTAATGAACGTGGCCACCCTCCAGCTATGCATGGGAGAATGAAACTGCATAGAGAAACACCATTTTATCCTCTTGAAATTAGATCAGATAGCTACAATAAGTCTTTACCATCAGCTTTACCCCCACTTACCTGTTAAATAATAAAACCAGATGTTCAGTCTCTTGACCTGAGACAACTATAAATAACTTTCTCCCTATTTCATGGTGTGTCCAAAACACTTGAACTACTGATTTTCTCTGAATTGTAGATTATAAAGTGCTTGTCAAACTCCCTGTTACATATGTAACCCAGACTAAGACAAACTTCTGCCTTGGGCACTGCTGGGTGTTGTACAGACAGCATTGTGGCTCTAACTTGCAGGGTGCATACCGCCTGAGTCAGCCAAAGTTCCTCCTGAGCTTCCCTGGTAGCACACACCAGAGGGTAGTTCTGGTACCCTTTATAGGATTGCAGTGGGCTCACTGCTCCATGCCCATCTAATACTCCTGTGCCCTGGCTAGCAGATGAGACAGCTAGTGCCAAATGGCATGCTAGTAAGGTTCAGGGACCATGCTTCCTGATGAGATCTTTGCAAGGCCTCTTACCTATGCAGGGCTTAGCCAGAATCTGGCTCTGCATTTCAGAGTTGTGCTTCCTGCTTCAGGAAGTGATTCCACGATCACTATTGAATAAATGGCTGATAAAGACAAATCTTAGAAAGAGAAACCCTGCAAAATGGGAATGACAAGACTCCCATTGACTTCAATGGGGACAGGATATCCCCCAGTATGTTTAGGAGAGAACTTGTGTTCCTCAGGGACTGGAGGGTTTGAATTTGGCCTTATGCTCCCATTTTGTTCTTTAGCATTACCTGAGAATGTTTGTGCCTTTCTGTAATCTGCCCCAGGCTTAGAAAAATAAACATGATTGTCAGTAGCTGTCAAATTCCAGTCTTGATTTGCAGACACAATAGTTTAATAGTATGCAGTGCCGGCTCTAGGATTTTTGCCGCCCAAAGCAAACACAATTTTGGCCGCCCGCCCCCCGTTCTTTAATTACGCCACCCCGGGCCCCGCCTCAACTCCGCCCCTTCCCCAAATCCCCAGCCCTGCCTCCTCCCCCCAGGCTCCTCCCCCCAAGCCTAGGAGGGAGGGAGGGGGAGAAGCGGCGCCCGCGCCGTGGCCACTCGGAGTCTCCCCCTCCCTCCCAGGCTCTCAAACCTGGGACGGAGGGGGAGCAGCGGCGTGCGAAACGGCCGCTCGGGATCTCCCCCTCCCTCCCCCGCCCCCCCCCCCCCCCCCCCCCCCCCCCCCCCCCCCGCCCCCCCCCCCCCCCCCCCCCCCCCCCCCCCCCCCCCCCCCCCCCCCCCCCCCCCCCCCCCCCCCCCCCCCCCCCCCCCCCCCCCCCC